AAATATTGGCCGGCTGCTTAGGATGACATTTGTCAGTGGCATGGAAAATATCCTTTGAGAAATCAACACATTTCTATTTATCGTAATGCCTTGAATTGACAAAGATACCTAAGCAAATGTCTAAAATTAAGTTCTCTGACATTTCATGGAAGGAAAAAAAAGTTGATTATGTCAGGAGTTGACGAATTAGACAGCAGGGAAATACAAACTGTTCAGGTAAAGGATGCTCGAATCTTGTTCATATTTTCTACCAAATGATGATATTCTTTCCAAAGTGGTCTCCAGATACCCACTGTTGATATTACCAGACTTCTGGAGCAAAGCTTCCAGTTAGAAGTTGCAGCCCAGAACAATCTCATGTGCTTCAGAGCCACAGTCAGCATCAGTGGACAAGGCTCGAGCAGCAAGAAGTGCTGTTCCTTTTTCTTTATGCTTGGTGCAATGCAAACAGTAACTTTTATCCAGTCCGAAGACAGGCAGTAATGTCTCCGGTCGCAATTCTGAACCTCTTCTGTCAGAGATGTAAAAGCACGCAGCTGTGTCACAGCCATCGTATGGAACTTTATAAATTTTTCTTGCCGCAATCAATTCATTTCAGTATGTGATTTTCCTGACTGGCATGCTTCTTGATTCCCTTCGGTGCTTTGTCTGTCGTGGAAGAACAAGATGGGGTTTTACCGAAGTGTTAATGGAGTAGCTTTTCTTACAGTCGTCAAATTGTGTGTGTATGCGTGGATCAAGTTATGAATTTTTAACAATCCCTGTTAAGTTCATGGAACTCTCAAGAGGAGAGCTCCTTAAACAGGTAAACACACCGTTGACTTTTTTGTTGTTTTTTTGGCCACTAATGATTTTAAATGCTAGGTGGCACTGCTTTTACCAAGCATAGAGAATAGCTCAAGAAATAGAAATGTACTTTCTACAGGAAGGATACCTTAGAACAGAGGTAAATAAAATAAGCTATTTATATTATAAATGCTAAAACAAGGAAAATACATATGAGAGAAAGATTATGGCAGTGTTCATAAATCAAAGCAGCCCAATAGCAAAGGAAAGAAAAATAAGGCATGTAGTTTTCACCTTCTGTATATTATGTTATATTCCCTTCCAGATTTTATAAGCAAATATTTATATTAAAAATAGACCGGCTATGCCTCTGATATATGATAAGCATGAAGATGAGGCTGTAACTGAAAGAGTTCAGACCAGACTAAACTATTTGTTTATTTACTGTTTTCCCTCAAGCTCTACTAAAGTGGTCATAAAAGCATTCAGCTCAATATATTGGTAGAAATGCATCAACCATCTGTATTTTTCCAGAGACTGGAAACTATACGCTTGGAACAATTTCTGCTCTGGAATGTCTGTAATACTCTGAAGCCTTAATACCTTGCTAATCAGTACCATACTAATTAGCCCATGACAAGAATTTTAATTAGATGCACAGTAGGGGTTCTCCCTACCTGCAGTGGAGAAGCTATTTCTTTGGGAGAAAAGTGAAGGGGAAAAGATAGTGGATGAGATCAATAGACGACAAATGTAATCTAATTCCTGGTACAAGAAGAGTATACATAAATTAATACTTTTCAAACTTATGCCTTTCATAATCTATTCTATTTTGTAAAATATATTGAAGTTCACGTTGTGATTTCCTCTTTTCCACCACAGAACAAAATGTATTTTTTTTTCTGTGAATTGTCATCTGCTATCAGCAAAAAGAGAAATACCGGAACAAGACTGTAGTCATCTTTTGCTCATGGGCAGCCCCAAGGACTGAGCTGAGGGCATCCCAAGCTCAAAGCCTGAGTCTCTGTAATCTGAGTTAAAGAGCTGAGCTGTGTAGTACCTGTGAGCTGGAACAAGGTGAACAAGGCTATAAAGGGAGACACACAATGACCAATGTCACTAGCTTAGCCTTGGCCCTGGCACATTCTAAAGTTAAAAATGTATAAAAAGGGAGTGAAAGACTTGGATGACTGAATTCCTGTCAGTATGGACTCAAAATAACCATATTGATGAGCATCATCTATCATTTTTCTTCTGTCAGAAAAGGATGCAAAGGAGGTATGGAAGATATTTACCTGAAATTAATGCCACCCATTAGTTCTTATTAGCTTAATGGCATACATCCCGTTGCATGGAATTTTAAGACTGTCATTTGGGGTAAAGACTATTTTAAAATCTATCTGCAATATACCTGATACAATGCGATTCTTAAATATATAAATACAAAGTCTGTAGACAATTTTAAAACACAGCCACATAGCCACAGCTATGACAATAAAATATTCCAGTGTAATTATATTCTTGTCTTTGAAGAGCTACCAAATAAAAGGATGCAGCGTACCTGGGGCTTTTCTTTATTCTGCCTTAGACTTCCTTAGAGACCATTGACAGGCCTTATAATCTCTGTATGTCTCTGTTTGCACAACTGTGAAAAAGGTACTGCTATTTCAGCAGATGATGGGACATTCTGAAAAATGATGACCAGGTCCAGAAAACACTTCATCTAAAGAGTTACAAACATCAATAAAAGTAAGAGAAGGATAAATTGCACTAAAGGGAAAACCAGTTAATGATTTTTGGCCCATTGAAAGGATACTTTAGCAATGGGCTCTCTGAAGGAAATGGAGATCTTGCTGTGCAATTTACATTATTTAAAAACAATACAATTCTTACAATTTTGATTTTGATAGGGAAGATTTTTCCACATGGTGAATATGGCCACAGATCAGCACCATGCCTATGGATGCTCGGCAGATATTTTAAAACCAAGATCTAAGGAACATTTTTGTTCAAGCAGCAGTGTGAAGAAAGGCAGAAAATAATTGCACCCCTTTTGCATTTGTTTTCTGTAAAGCCTGTAGCAAGTCAGCGGCTTGAATGTTTGTGAGACGAGCGATTGATGAATGTTAGCGAACCTTTGTGGAATGAAAATAGTAAATTAACAAGTGGACTTGTTAATCCGTAAGATTTAAGAGTAAATTGTGTCAGGAAACTAAAACATGAGGTAATCTCGTGCCAAAACAAAATGACCCAGTCTTGGTCAACTAATAGAAACAGTACATTGTCTGCAAACTAGTTGTACGGTGTTTGGAGAATAATTCTGAATACAGGACAAGTCAGAGAAAATTACGATGGCCTACAAACCACTCTACCACTAATAAAAATTAATCAAAAAATGCATTTGCTCTGGAGTATTCACTCAACTGTCGTGCCTGGTAAAAGATATGTTCTTTTTAAAGAGTTTCATTAACCTACCTGAGCTATGAGATCCGGTGATTTACCACAGCAAATTTCTCTACTACTGCAAGTTCAAGTAGAAACACAAGGGGCTGGAAAACCCAAGCTAGGGTTAATGGGATTACACAATTTTTCATCTTTTATTGGCAGTGATTTAAAGCTGATCCACAGAAAAAAGATCCTACTACTTGCTGCCTATTTAGTATGCAGGTGATGTATCTGGAAGGTATATCTCAGCGTTTTGCAGAGGGATGTGAGCCTTTCCTGACGCCTCTGAGCTAGCAAGACATGACCTCGCTCTGGCTCAGAGGCCACGTGGCCACTTCAGGAAAGCGCTATATGGAAGGCTGTAATCTGCCAAGAGGCAGGATGTATTAGCTCAGGCTTAATGCCACACTGCTCACGTCTGTGTCACTCCTGGCCAGATAAAGGCACGAGAAGGAATTTGGATCTACCTGCAAACATGATGAAGCTGTGCCCTCTGGCCGCTTCCTAGCAGGACTGTGGCTCACATCACAAAATGTCCACCGTAAATAGCACTTTAGTGGAGCTTTTATCAGTACTTTCAGGATTGAATGGACTATTTGGAAAAGACAGTTATAATGTACCAGCACTTCACTTGAACAGTGCATTCTGAGAAAAAAAAAAGAAAGAAAATAAAAGTTATAACGTCACTGCACTTCCTTCCCCAATAAATGAAAGGAAACTCGTCTTCTATCTTGAGTCCTTTGGTGAGGCCGATGGTAGACGTCAAGCATCCAGTACTATTATCCTCCCAATTAAATACATATGTAGGTTTGCCATGGGAGACATTTGAATATTTTTGGCTTGCATACCTCTACAGAGCATCTGCTTTTTATCCCAGGTGGCAAATTTTATTTTACATAATCTAGTTGAGATAAGGATGTAGATTAAAAATGCAGGGCAGAAGCCCTTACCAGATTTGGCAGGAAGGGAAGGATATTGGTTTGCTAGAGCAGTTATCCATAGGAAGTGGTGACCATTACACCATTTTCATTTTTTAAGTGCTGCTGAAGTTGTTTATTTTCACTCTAAAGTCTTTTATGGTTTGAATGCTGGCTGTATAAGAAGCCATCTCTTCTCTATATGCTGTATCCAGCTGTAGCCCTCAGTAATAGTCCTAAGATTTGTATATCTGAGACCCAAGGGAAATAAATATTCTTGCTTCTGAGTTTTTATTGGAATTCATGTAGTCAGACCCATACTATCTTGAATTTGAGTGACTGTTTCAAGTGTATTTACTTGAGTAACAGAGGATGTTATGTCGGAAGTATGTATTTAGTTGCCCTTGTGTTATTTTTTCTGTCTCCTCTGCCTAGAATCAGCTAGAAAAGCATGTTCTAAATTGTAAAATAATTTCTGAATCTTTTATGATTTCTTCTCTCTTACATAATTTAAACTAAAGATTCCTTACTTAAGAAAACCTAAGCTGAACTTCAGAGCTCGTGTTATGTAAGTCAGTCAGTTAGTTACATCAAGCAGAAAAAACTGAACATTGCCTTGGGGAGAGAGAGACAGAGAGAAAACAAATGCTCGAAAGCAGAGGCTAGGGAAGGAGGACAATTTTGGGACCGGTTTCCCCCCAAACCACAGCGCAGAGAGGCTAGCAAAAGGTGCTGTGTACACGTGGAGCACCAGTCAACCTAAAAGGTTTTCCGGAATCCATTATGAATGTTTATGTAGGTATGTTTGTTCTGGGAATAATTCTCAGTATTTCACGTGATTTTGTCTTCCAGAATGATTGAAGATTGTGGGAAAAGAGGAAATACCATGGCAGAAAGAAGGCAGCTGTTTGCAGAAATGCGTAAGTACTTCCTAGACATGTTTCACTGTGATAGATCAAGCCAATTGCAATGCAGTGTCAGTAAAATTTATGTAAACTTTCCACCCCAAGCAAGTGACATCTCCATTTCACAATTTGTATTTTGAGACCAAAACTACAAGAAAATGGGCTGATTTGACCAAATACCAGGGAAGAGGGATTTTCCACACCAGCTTCTGTGATGGAATTTGTTTAATCAATGGCTTCTTGAGCCAAAAATCCTAAAATACACAGCTAGCAATGAAGATGGAAAAAAAGGAGTCCAAAAGGCAACATCTTTCTGGGAGTCTCTCATATCACATATCCCACTTCAATGTATTTTTCAGTTGCTAGTGAAGCTGTGTGTTCCTTGCAGAATAACATGATATGGGTGTACTATATTAACCAGTGTTCCTGCACTTCTTTTAACAGTCTTCACGTATCTTATTTCTCTTACAAACAATACTCCATTTTTCAAGCAGGTTGTCTATGTATATTTGAAGTTTGAGGTAGTCACCCTTTTACTAGATTCACCTAAGCTTTGTCTATAATTATTAAGCCTCCCATTATTTATGGCTTTCAATATAGTAAAAATGACAGAACAGTGGTACTTGGGATTGTTATGAATATTTATTTTCTGAAATATGTCTTATAGCTAGCAGTAGGAGCAGGTTACCCAGATCTACCCTGTTTGTCAAGACTTTGGTTCTCTGAACTTGAAGATACAAGGCAAAGAGGAGCAGAATTAGAGGAGCGAAGTTTCCAGAGCTATTTCTGTGAAATATGAAGTGTTTTGGAGACTCCATCCTTTTAAGATCTTGCTTCTCTTAATTTTGAATTTTGAGGCCTTCACAAATTATCTACATGTTTTAAACATTCAGGTGACCACCATTTCACAGAACTGCCACCCAGGAAAATTTTGCGTAGGCACTGGTATTGGTTTTCATAGGCTATTTCTTGAAAAGGACACAATTCCTCTTTTTTTATTCTTCCATCTTTTGCGGGAGGCTGAGATGGGTATTAATGAGACTTGGGCAACTGTGCACACTGAAAGACAAGGTCTGTGCAGGGGAGGTAAATGTGTTCAGGACTGTTCTCCAGAGATGAAGCCCAGTGGCACAGAATGACCAACCTCTGCGCTCCTAAGCCCTCCAAAATGAGGACTCCGCATTCAGATTGCCTATTGAAAATGGTCCAGCTTTGCTGGAGGCTATCCTAACAGAGTTGTAATTTGGATGATGGACCTGGCTGTCTGGCTGTGCAGCAGAGAGGTGCCTATATGTCCACTTTTGTGCCCTGTACTCATTTGAATATCGCACAAGGTCTTCTGTCGTAGCTCAGCTGGATATTGCCCTTATCCCTTTTATGTAGCATCTTGGACCGGTGTTCAAGGCGTGTTCTTTGGCCAGAAGCAAGAAAAATAGGATGATGCATTTCTCCACTGTCAGAACATGTGATACTTTTAATTAGAGTTATATAAAGGACTCGATCTTATATTGGCTAATGTCAATGGCAAAACTCCCTTTAACTTCAGTCAGTTTGAAATGCTCCTAAAACAGAAGATGCTTTTTACTTGCTGAAGAATTTGCTATGAGATTTTATGGTTTGTTCCCACAGTTTTGAAGGCTGTTTTGCAGTTTGTGGGTTGCTTTGGGGGAGTGAGGAGGAAGTTTGGAGAATTCGCGATGAGCAGCTGGAGGGGGAGAAGGGATTATTTTTCTGTGCTGTACACAAATAGTTATTTTCTACTGTTTTTTCTTTCATATTTTTAGTATTTTGACATTCTTACTTTGCATTGGGTTTATCTCACATGTGCTGTGCTTTCCCATTTGCCTACCTCCCTTCCTCCTCTTCCTATCCAAGCACACAGAGAACCAGGCTCCAACTACACAAAAAACAGAGAGGAAAATATTCAAGATTTGTGGAAGACTAAATATATCTGGGACAAAGAAACATCGACATTCAGCAGATGCTCATTTGTGGTTTTTAAGGAGTCCTCAGTTCCTGTGGTATAAAGAGTGTGTTTAACTGAAACAGAAGTTCATCCTTCTGTCATGGCACTCAGGTCCCCTCAGCTGTGTGAAACCCCACAGAATTGATGCTTAACAAAAGGCACTTGCTCCACATGCCCTACATACTGTGGATCATGTGAACTTTCTCAACACTGTAACAAACAAAAAAAGTTGAACTCCACAACCTGCCAACATTAGAGAAAGAAAATATGTGCAGTAGAGGACTTGACTAACGTTTTACGTTCTCACCTAAAGGATGAGTCTGTAGACTCCTTGCCTAGACTATGGAGTCTGTAAATAAAACCTCACAATATCTTTAGAAAGTGAAACAAGTTCCAGGCTACATAAGACAGCAAAAAAACTCACCCATTCCTGCCTTTCTAAGTAGGAAACTTGTTCTAAACGAGGAGCGGATGACTTTAACTCTCCTTTTACATTTTGGGCAGCATGCAAATTTTCCTTTATTTAGAGAAATTTAGTTTAACTCTCTTTATTTCTTCTTCTGCAGAAGACTCATCACTGTACTTCCAAATTACAAACCTTTGTGAATTAGTATCATAAGCAACATCATCTTCTATAGAGTCCTGTGGTCAAAGTTTAAATTGTATCTTATATCTCAAAATGCTCCACTGGATGTCAAAATCAATAGGCTACCCTTAGTCCTACCTCACATGCTCAGGCTACAGACTGCTCTGATGAAAAGAGTGCAAAATATGCATTGCTTTTGTGCTACCAACACATACTATCCAGTACAAAAAAGGCAGTTTACAATGTATGCCTTTATTTTTCTTTTCAAGCTGCCAGCAGTATTACATGAGAGAAGAATATTCAAAAGAAACAGAGTGAAACACTGCCATGGGGCAAAGAGGGTAGAAGCCACTGGCAGTCCCTGTAGGCAAGTTACAAAGTCAGAGTTTCATTTGCCATACTGAGTCCCGTGTATCTTTCCCACTTATTTTCCAGCACTTTCCATGTAATTGAAGTCATTTTTCTGCTAAAGTTATTTGGCAAATAGATCTCAGACTGTGGCAAAATGTGAATCATGATTAAATTAAGCATAAAGATGCATAAATTGTACATTCACTTTGTTTTCCAGGGATTTACCAACAGAAACACCTACCCCGAAAATAATAGAATATATTGTGTGTACAAATAGTAGAAATGGCAACGTTATTACCTACAAATTCATTTATTTGTGCTTAATGCTGCAACCTAGAAAATACATTGAGCCAGAGTTAGGCTTCGTTTTGAATCTTTGCTTCTCATTAAAAGGCTGAAGTTTTATAAAGGAACACTAAAAGCTTTTATTTGTAACGTTCACATTAAAAGGGAAAAAGTTAAATTCCTGTTACACATTGGTCCTATTAAAAAAGGAAAGACATAGTGTTACAAGCGTGATCCTTCTCTTTTTACAGAAACTGTCAAAAAGATACTAATGGAAGAGAAAAACTGCATAATTTAACAATAAAGCATATGATGAGAAAAAATAAAAAACTTTCCAGGCCTGATGTTAAGTAGTTGAGGGTAGTTTCTTCCAGGAACAGATGGTGTTAAGACAGCCAACTGGCAAAAGGAAGTATATGAGAGCCCTGGGAAGATGGTGTGGGAGAATCCGGTCAGGAAAAGAGCAGAGTCTGGGGAGGAGGAAGAATATAATTCTCATTTTCATCTCACAGGTCAGAGCACACTTGAAATGTTTGGGTCCAGAGGACGCCAGATTGTTCAAGAAAGTGTGGGTGAATGATGCCGACGTGGCCATATGTGCAACAGGGAAGCTGAGTGGCCAATCTAATAATGTCAAGATGAATCTCAAAGAGCACATTTGGGAAACATGTTTTAAAGCAGAATAGGGCCATATTTCACTCCACTCTACTTAAGAGACTAATTGTACCTTGTTTGGATGTGTTTCATGTGGACAGTTCCTAAAGGAGTCCATTATTTATAGCTTAGTGTCTTTTCCAAAAAGGAGGTTGCTCAACCGAATAAAACATTTTTTCTCTTTTATTATAGGGGCGATCACAATAAAAAATCAAATATGCAAAGGTTTCATTGAATGTGTGTCTGAAATATGCTATGTAGAGTGATAATTAATAAACAGTCCCATATTTCATAGGCCACATTGTAGCTATGCAACACTTCTTTGTGTAAAACATACCAGCCAAAGAGAAGCATTTAAATAACAGTCTACTCATCTACTTTTTGAGGTTTTTTTTGGAAAGCATTGCAAATGATACACAGCAGCAGGATACCTAAAGGCACAGTGCCAGATCCTGCCCAATGTTCTGGTCCCTCTATGCCACCCTTGTATGCGAAGTAGCTACCAGCCAGGTTAAGAGCAGCACAGCTGGCTCCTACGCCACATCTCCTCCCAGTCGTGGCCAGCGCTAAACGGGGTGGGCAGGAAAGGGCAACACCACAGCCCATTGCTACCTACACCCATCTCCTGGACAGCTGCTTTGGAAATTTTGCCAGGTCTTTAAGCTGGAGCAGCCAGGGTCAAGGCATGCGTGAGCCAGCGAGACGGCGCTTTGAGGTTTCCACCGCAGCGAGCGTATCGCTGCGAAATGGAGCGCGCCTCTCGCTCGTCGTGGTATTTTTTGCCCCTTTCTGCAGGTTGCTGTCTAGCAATCTTCTGCTTACGGCATGATACTGTTTCTAATTTGGTCTGCTGGCAATACCTTGTTCTGTACTGACGAGTCAGCCGAAGATACTTGTTATGATCTTTGTTGTTAAATATTAAAATTAGATGGAGGTTTTCCCTGCTGTTGGAGCGTGGCCAGCGTGTCTTTTAGCCTGCAGCTTGACCAGATTGTTCCTCAAAGTGACAGACACAGCGGGCTGACTATTCCCTGCCTTCCTTCATAAAAGTCTTTTAACACTGTAGCTCCTACCATTCCCCCTCCTTTCTCCCCCACCGCTTGCCCTCGCTGCAAAGGAGGTAGCCTTGAAAATTGTTAAGCAGAGGTAGCTCCCGTGTCCTCTTTGTTCTCTGGCTTTGCTGTTCACAAAGATACGCACAGGTCATTTTCTGTACAACTGTCACTGTTATTCTCTTCCACTAGGGGCTCAAGATCTGGATCGCATTCGTTTATCCACCTACAGAACAGCATGCAAGCTTAGATTTGTTCAGAAGAAATGCAACTGTGAGTATGCCAGTGTTTCCTCACTGCTGCCGTCGGTATTAGCTTCCCGCTGCGCTCACGTCCTACCTACCCTTCAGCTCCGTCACCAGAGGGGACTGTCTGATCATACATGGCAGAAAGCACTAATCAGAGGGCCTGGGCAGTTGTAAAATATTAATGTGTTTATACAAGGGTCTTGTCTCAAACATGCTAATGATTCAGTTGCAGAAGGGTAGGTCTTCATACAGGCCACAGCTTTAATTAATTAAGCATGATTAACTACATTGTGTAATTTTCTTGTAAATAACATTTGGGGTTCCTGCAAATTAAGTGCTCTTCTAGAAACTGTACGGAGGAGAAATGGTGTTTATAGTTCTCGTCTCTTTGGGGTGCAGCAAGGTAAGTACCATGTCAGTCAGCTTCTTTCTTTCCAGAAGGCCACTGAGAGAGACCTCGTCTAAGAGGATGAACCTGCTCATAATCTCAGCGTGTCTTTCTTCCTCCTTTTAGGCTTCGCTCTTGAGAAGTTTCCCACTTGCTTAGTGGTATTTCTTTTAACATATCTTCTAAGATTCTCTCTTTCTTCCTTTACAGTTGTAGCTTCTATTAGCACATTTATGAGAAGAGCTATGAATTTTAAAGTGGGAACACATATAAAAACTGTAGTGGATTATGTCATTTGTTCTCCATTTTGTTTTGCAACAGGAGATTTTGTTTCTTAAAACAGTAGATTTTGTTTTATGTGTTCTGCCGGACCTTTCTATACTAAATTTTAAAAAAAATCCTAACCAGGGGAACTCTTGTCAGCAGTAGAAGCAGGGAGAGGGCTCGTGCAAAGAAAACAGGAATCCAGCAGTTATTTTAGCTGGAGTGACAGCCTGCCTGCGCTCGTGCTACTCGCAGTGGTAAGAACGCTAACAAGTGTTCGGTGTGGATAGAGCTTAACCACTCGCGAGAGAGTGCCTAGCTTTGAGGTCACGTCTGTCTGTGTTACAAAAAATGTTTAGCTTATGCTGTCCAAACATATGGGAGAGACCAAGCTGCGGAGGAGAAGCATTTAGAGAGTATTTATTAGGCTATTAGCCACAGGGTTAGCCTTTCAATCACTTCTCCAGCACATTTCTCTTATTTTAAATGTGTTTAGCCAAAGTATGAGTTGAAGGATCAGTATCACAATATAAGGAGGCTGCCAGACACAAAACTTAGGAGGGGTTTAGTACCTGCCCAGCCAGTGTCTTCTCCTATTCAGAAGGCAGTGCACCGAAAGATTCTAATACTCTATATTCGTTGGTTTCTTTTAGTTTTTTTAGTTTTATATTTAAAAGGAAGAAATTTTCAATACACAGCAGATGAAAAACAAGGGTACAATATCCTAATTGCTGGGAGTGACCGTTTGGCTAAAAGTATTGGTAGTTACCCTTAACTTTGTTCCTCTCATTTATCAAATGTGATGATGCTTTCGTGGAACAATTGCTTTTGTTCCTAGTGTGCAGAACCAATACACGTACCCTTCAGTTTGCCATTTTGAGCCAACTCACTCATGGGCAGTGCTTGCTATCTGGTTGCTGTTGGTAACCTAGGGGAAGTGATGTGCTGGTCTTAAATCATGACTTGCACTGTCTCAACCTCTTCTGATTAAAAAAAAAAAGAGTTTAAACAAAAATGTCATCCTAAGAATTAGGTTCTGTGCAACTTAAGGAATGATTCCTGTTGCACTGGAGTGGCTGAATTATGTACATCTTTTCCAGTGTCAAGTACAGTTTTCTGCTGTTCTCCCAGATGGCATTCTGTTGTTAGTGGGAAGAGAAATCATTCTTCTACCTGGTGTGCTTTCATGCTCTACACAATGGCTGTCCCAGGCACACCTTCTAAACATAGAGCCACTCAACCAAGTACTGCCTCAAAGTAGTTAATATCAGACCTCTTGCCAGTGCTAGCTACTCTTTTTTTTCCCTGCAGAAATTGCTGTTATGCACCACCCAAAAGTAGGCTGAGGAAAAAAAGAAAAAGTGGCATGGGAAAAAAACCCTTTGTGCAGCATCTGAGCTGCTTCATTTAAGAGAAGTTATAAAAAGAAAAAGCTCAAAGACTCACAGTGTATAGCACCTCCTGTCACTCAGGCCATCCTTGGCTTCTTTTACCTGTGCTCTCCTGCCCTGCCCTGACTAGCTCTTCACTCACTCGTGCCACACCAGACTTACTAGGAAAAAATTGCTTGGAGAAAGTATATTTAAGGGACTCTTTTAAATAACTGATTTAATAAATTGCAGGGAGCTGCTCTTGGCTATAGCCTGAAGGTGTATGAGGATGGAAGCAGAGAGCAGCTTTGAAAACCTGAAGTGGCTGTGCCAAGAAAAGCAGAGTAGAGGTTTTTTTAGCACCATCTCTTTTACCCGAAGGTGCACATTAGCGTAGAGCAGAGTGTGACTGTCCTAGGATATCATTGAACAGATAGCGACGTTTATAACAAACAGTGTTTGTTTCATTTGTCTTTAGGGCAGGCAGACACAGGTTCATCTCCTTTCTTCCTTTTTGAGTTCTTCCTTCAGTACAAAAGTGTTTTGCTAAAACTTTTTATTAGCAGGGTAGATTTTACTGGTGAGGTAGTAACTACGTAAAAGGCAGAGATGCCTTGATATTCCAAGAACCATTCTCTCTTGCAATATTTCTCCTTAAACTTATTAAACCGTGTAGCCAAAGGTTGTAGAAGAGGTAACAATGAAAAAAGAATACCACTGCATATGTTGTACTCTGATTACTAACACTGCTAATTAAATCAATTACTATATCATATTATATATACTAACTTGCAGTTCATTTTGGCACAAGAAAGATAACTGTAAAGATATTTAGCAAACATTCTCCAAAATTGCAAATATGTGCCTTTGTGATAATTCTACAAAACTTTAGGAAAACTACTGTGCATATGAAAAATATTTCTTTTTTAAATTCTCTCTGAGCATTTAAACTAACAGCCAGTTTAAATAAAAACAGCAGAGTGAGAAAAAAATCAATATCGGTCTTTATAATTCTTTGTTAAACAGGATAAAATTGAATTCAGTCTCTAGCTTTATTCTTCAGAGAAGCAAGAAGTTTTTCATAAGAACTGAGGAGATGATAAGTAGATAAATTTGAAAAAATTGTAATATTGATCTTTTAAAGAAATTGTCCTTCAGATGTAGGCATTCTTCTTTTCCTATGTTAAGACTGCAAATAAATAACAGTAACATTTACAAATTATTTACTGACACTCTTCTGAGTCTGCCAGTGCCTAATACACAAAATGTAGGTACCTCGTCTGTTAAAAAAAAAGAAAAAAAAAGTATTGAGAAGATCCTGAGGTTGTGCCATGAATAAATAGTTCCAAATGAATACCAATGTCATGGAGAAGCAAGCCTTGAAGAAAACCCTGCTGGTGGTTACATCATCTTCAGATCAAAGAATGGGAAGAAGGAGTGTTTGAGCTGACTGTGACTGTTCCAGTGGATCATTGAGTTGGGTATAGTCCCAGAAAAAACAGATCTTTAATTGTTCAGGGGTTAAATTTCATTATTTGGGAAAATAAAAGCAGAAGGAAGCAGGTGCAGAAACCTGACCAAAAGTAGCACGTGTTTATCCCATTCTGTACAATGGATATGTGGACAACTGACTTCACCAGCGAAAGCTTCTAAATGTACTTCAGAGGTAGCCTAAATAATGCACACTGCAGGGGTCAAGGGAGGAGATGGAAAAACTGCAAGCAAGCGCTATGAGGTCTGCAAATTCTTGGTCAGTCACAGAACTTGAAAACCTTAGGAATCGCTGTTGCTCTGGTGAAGTCAAACATTGGGGTATTATACTTCAGTTGACCTCCAGTACATTGAAACAGGTTTTGAAAGGTCCAGTATACATTGTCCCCACTGAGGTGGGAAGATGTCATCTTGATACAACAGTGACTTGCAGACAGGTGTTTACCCATAGCATTCACACATGGAAGAGGCTATCTTAAAACAAAGCATGAGTGACCAATGACAGCAGTTGCACATATCTAACAACATTCACCAGTATTCAGGAACCACCAAAAAGCACAATTTATAGTTCTCTCCAGTCATCACTGTGTAGTTGGTTTATTTTAATTTTGATTTCAGTGATTTTATTAAGACCCAACTGTTTATAGAGAAAAACCAGCTGAGATGAAATACCACGTTCACATGCAAATTCCCTCTGGGCTCTAGTGGCAGCAGGAGTGGAACATAACAACATATCGTAATCAAAACCATTATACAATTAAACATCACTCACTAATACAGAACTGTACAGCTGGAAAACTACTGCTGTCCTTGATAGACTTTTCTGAACACGTTGTGAGATTATTCCATGACACTGGCTGCAGAACAGCAAATTTTTCTGATATCCCTAGATCAGAATAAATCATTAGCAGTTGAAAGCCTTGAATGTAAAGCCATGCTGATGATTGTATCATGGCAAAAATACAATGCAGGCAAAAACAGAGTGCATTTCTCTGACAATTCAATTCCAACACCTTAGGGTTTCAGAGTCTTTGTTTCTCTCTCCAGTATTCTCCTGCATGAGTAATTTTTTTTTTTGCTTTGTTTTGTCTTATCAAGTGAAAATTCAGTGGGTTCCACATAGGGAGCACAGCTGCCACGACTTTATTAGAGACCTTGTGACTGCCCGGGGTACTCTCTTCCACCTCCCTCCTGCTTTTCCGCCTACTTCCTTTAGGCTTAAGTAGTCACATCCCTGAGGCGTGGA